AGTCAGGCACTCATTGGAACTTGGTTTTGGAGATGTGAGGCGTGCACAAATCCAGTAGTCTATGGTCTTGGGAGGTTCATGGGGGAACTCACCAAAGTTTCACGCATCAACATGTCCTCGTGGGGAAACACGTAGCTCTAAGCGTGTGGGTGCCACCAAGCCTAATGTGCTATGCATTTCTGAGCCCGTGACTCTGCACGGTGAAGCTGCGGGGCCCCGGATTTTCAGTCGCTTTTGTGTGAGTCTTCCTTTCACATTTCAGGCTGTTTTTGCAGCTGGCCGTGTTCCACAGCCGAGTCCGGTTCCTTTAAATCTAGTTAATTTGATGCCTGCAGGTATTGCAGATTGCAATGCGGGAAAATGTGCTTTGGTGCCGTCGACATTTCGATAGGACACGGGTAATTGAAGGTTCAAGTGGGAGACATGACCTCCTGTTTCCTTTAGTTGATTTGGCTCTACCGGGAGTTTGCCATGTACGCAAAGGGCAGGAGATCCTGTTTGGAGGCGTTCTGGCCCACGTCTGACCAAGCATGATGTGCACATGCTCGCTTACCATTATGAGATGTTTAGGGCTACAGGCTGAGGGCAAGTAACGCAATTATGGTTACATTAAACTTTCGCTTGGGCGTGCAATTTATGTTCATTCGGGCTTTCATTTTATTTTCATGTGTCAAGGCTATTGTCATTTTATTTTCATTTTTCATTTTCGGACCCTGGAGCACAAAACATGCAAACAACTCAAGGATTGTTCATTTTGTTTTCATTGTGTTTTTATTTTGATGTTTTTCCTCCCTTTGGACCCTGGAAAACAAAACCAACAAAACTCGAGGACATGTTCATGTTATGTTCATTCTATATTCATGGTGGTTTCATTTTGCCGCTCTTCTTCCATTCCGGGACCCTGGAAAGCAAACAATGCAAGACACCTCGATGACACTTTCATTTTGTTTTGATTTTTGTTCATTTTGACACTTTTCCTCCATTTTGGCACCTTGGAATCCGATATGAACCGAAAATAAAAGGACAATAACAACATGAAAACACAGATGACATCAACATGAACAAACAATCATCTTGGAGATTCAAACCTGTGCCTTGTCCTCATGCCGACGTGGCAAGCTGTTTGTATTGCAAGACTGATCTTCGGCAGGGAGTGTTTCACATTTCATGAGCCAAGACGGTATTGCGTTTGAACATGACCATACTTCTTGTTTTGCAGCTGCGCCTTGGCGCGGTGCTTGCTTTTCAAGTGCTTCCAGCAATGCGTCCCATGTGTTGGGTAACATCCTGAGTTGCATGAGACGAGGCAAAGGTTTTGTGCGCAGGTTGCTTGTGCATTTGTCTGTGTATGTGTGCGCATGTCAAGCTTTTGTGCTTGATCACCGCCATTCCGGGCTGCCATGGCCAACTTGGCTGCCAGATTGACGCGCAGCATGCGCTACGGCATCGAGGATTTTACACATCAGGAAGAGGGCAAGCCGAAGATGCAGAAGTACCGGGATGGTAACTTGTGGCCCATAGTGGCGCAGTTGCAAGTGCATTCGGAAGATCCACGCATTGAGTTCTAGGACAATCACGTTTGCCCTTATTTTTCCTATGCAACCTCAATTGCGGTTCGTCGTCCATGTGTTGACGGGCTGGGCAATATGTTCGTTCAGGGGACAGCTTAAAAGAAGGGCAAGAATAAGGCGCCATGGCCGCTGCATGCAGTTATGCGTGGTATTGAGTTGACATGGGACATTACGATTCGGAGGACAGCGCCACGAGCGAGCGTCCATTCTGACCCCTATATAAGCATTTTAAGCTCAATGTTGTCAAAGCTCTCCACAAAGCCTAAGGTGCGCGCAGGTCTTTTGAAACAGGCGGTGAGTTGGGCGTGCGGCATGTGCAGAACCAATGTTTCGGATGCCGCGCAGCAGGCAAACCAGAGACCAGCTGTTATTGCAACAATCATGCCTGCCAACATGTTCTCTACAAGTGTTTAAATCCGGTATGTCAGTCTGGTTTTTTTCTTTGTGTTTGTGTGTGTGTGTGTGTTGCTGTTGACTTTCATGTGACTCGTGATTTCTGAGTGCACCATTCTTTTTTGTGGTGCATGTGGGTCTAGGGACATTCTCGTCACTTTCGGCTCGTAGATATGCTGTGTTTGAGCTCAGGGATCCTTTTTAGACAGGTTCTTCTGAGCAAACCCCATGGACCAAAACAGAACAGCCGTTTTTCCGATGAATGCACCAGCCAGGGCACCAGTGTTGAGCAGTGAGCTGGACGGTCCAAACCGCGTTCCGCCATGACAGCGGCGATGCCGGTTGCTGGAAAGGCCTGGGAGCTGGGTTTTTGGACTGAGCCCTTTGTGGGATCGTTTTAAGCAACGCGGACACCGACCAACTTGAAGATTCCTGTTTCAAGGAACCCACTCATGGTGGGAAACTGGGCGGAATACTGGCCCGGGGTTCGATGCCCCATTAACATGTTCTTTTGCTTGTTGAAAGGGAAACCAAAAGGACACCAACCGCCCATTTTCTGGCTTCTCTTGTTCTGAGACAATCTCCCTCACGCACGAATCTGGCTGATGATTTTGTGTGTGGCGGCAACCTGAACGGAGCACACTAGTGGCTCCCGGACGTTTTGCGCTAGAGGAAACAAAACACTACTGAAACACCAAGAATGCAGAGGGGTTGTATCAAGCAGTTTGGGTGTCATGTTTGTATTTTTTTAGTGTTCCGAATAAAGAATCAATCCGAACGTGCATCAATCCGAACGTGTCTCGTTCAGTCTTTGTCGCTCTACACAAGTGTGAATCAAAACAAGCACGGGAGAACTTGGTGTGAGGTCGCCGCTCCAGCCACTGACTTTGTTGCTTTGGGGTCCAGTTCTTGTGGCCGGCTTTGTGTTTCTGCATTTTGCTCGCACGCAGCAGTTCGACTCTCCTATCCTTGGCATGCCTTTGCATTTTGTTCTTGGATCTGTTTGAGTGGTGGGCTGCAAAGAGCATGTTTGTTTCTTGACATACTAAGGTTGGCAGTTCGTACGGCCTTGCACGAATTATCTTAAACCATGAGGGCCAGAATCAAACCCCGGGTAGATGCAGGTTGATAAGGGACAATCCCAACCATAAATAGCTGCGGCCGCCTTCTTAATTCTTTACATAGTTTGGGGTAGACCATTTTAATACCGGGTTTGGATTATGACTCATTTCGACTTGGGAAACCATCTGCTTCCCTCGCTCTTGATTGAGGTGCATTGCACACATACCACTCTCTCGAGTCGATCGAGCTCAGGACAACTCTAGCGGCCCTTCGCTTCCACGCAAGCTCAGCAACTCGCGGAGCGACCAGGCGAGTCGGCTGCGGGTGAACTGAACCTGGAGATCACTTGGGGAGTGCTTTCCTCCTTTTCATTTGCAGAGTTCTTCTTGGATTTGTTAATAGAGGTCACAGGCCACCTCGGACCTTCCATGTCCCTGGGACCTTCCATGTCCCATTTTGAAAACCCGTTTGAAGCGCGGTCAGAATTTACGGAAAAGGAAGGTAGTTTACACTTGGACATCCATATAGCTCAAGGTGCTTGAAACTATGAACAACGATAGGGGACTCAAAAAAAACAATACTTTTGTGTTATAGACCAAACGCTGGAAAATGATATGGGACTCTCTAAATTCGAACGTACTTGTGTGAACAACAATTTTTGACGGAACTTCATGTGGCTCAAGATGCAGGGCTTCCTCTTTAGTTGCAGTCCTCTTGGTCCGACCAGAGCATTGATTGCGACATCATGATCTGATCTGAGTAAGATTATGCTAACACGTGCAGGGGTCAGAACTTGCGACGCAAAGGTTATTTATGTCAGCTGCATGACATGACACATGCTTAAACTCAAACACATGTGGAGCAACACCCCTGTGTAGGTCTTTGAGGGCTCTAGATTCTATATGAAGCGTAGCTTGTATGTAGCTTATCCTCTTGCACAATGAGTGCGTCGGTTGAATCAGATTCACGTGACCATGTGCTGCACATTTTCGGTCATCCCCAGCGGAACCTTGCTAATGGTACTGCCAGCCCCTGAGGGTTGCCTGCGCGCCAAAGCAACGCCCCAACACCCGAACCTAGACTTCTTAGAGACTCAATCCGCTTGTTACCACGTGCTCGAATTAGTCATAGCCAAGCGCTAGGGCAGAGACGGCGGCTGCTTAATGTGCGGCTCGGACAAAGCTAGCCGATACTTCTTGAGAGCTTCTAAGACATGCGCTGGCAGCTTGCCTGCAGAGGGTGACATACTCAACCTGGAAAATTCCCTAAACATACACACCTAACCTAAACCCTAAACCTTATCCCTAAACCTGAACCCTAAACCTGAACCCTAAGCCTGAACCCTAAACCTGAACCCTAAACCTAAACCCCAAACCTAAACCCCAAACTTAAACCCTAAACCCACACCCTAAACCTAAACCCCAAACCTAGTCTCCAAACCTGCACCCTAAACCTGAACCCTAAACCTAAACCCCCAAACTTGAACTCTAAACCCAAAATCCAAGCCCTGAAGCTGAACCCTAAACCAAAACGCTGGGCAGGACAAGGGCGGATTCGGGGTGACGGCAACCCACGGGGGCTGTGGGTACTGGTAGCCTGACGCAAGGCCGGTATATCGCACTACCGCTTAAACAGCGCCTGCTAGATGTGCACTTCCCCGACAACTTGGAGAACCCAGCCATTGGAGCGATACGAGGAGTGATACGTTTCAGATTGTGGCGCGAGTGCCCCATCGAGAAAGGAGACCCCTTCTTCGATTTGTACTTGCGCTTTGCGACTTTGGGGCCACCTCGGAACCCGCGAACAGCGTGGTCCCACTTCCAACAATCCCCATGTCTTAGCCGCTCAGGGCGGCTGGTCGCTGCTGGTGAAAAGCTGCTGCGGCGGGGTGTCCGGGTGCATGGCCAAGACCGCCGTGGCTCCCCTGAGTCGCACCGACGCTCAGCAAGCGATATGGCCATGGATTTGAAAAAAATGGCGGTACGCATTGTGCCATATTCCTCATAATATAGCCGAAGGATGCTACTGGCGGTTGAGTGCTAGCCAAGTAATATCTCAGTTGTTCGGTGGCAATCTTTTGTTGTTTGGTAGATTCATCACAAATACATGGAATCCTCTTGCTATAGGGTTGCCCCACTAAACCCCAGAAAGGCTTCCCTTTTCCTATCAGACTCACGGGTATTGGACCTTGATCGAGGTGATCCAGATGCAGTTGCACTCGACTCATCACACTGGGAACATGCGGAGCACTTTGCTGAGCATTTACCGGGAAGGCGGCATACTGTCCTTCTGGCGAGGCGAGGGAGGGTTGTGCGTGGAGCATCCACGTTTTTGGGTCGACAAGGCTTGTTGTTTTCACCCAACAAAGAGTGAGGGCGCCAGTGTTGGAAACAAGACACATGAATGGATGGAAGCATTGCCACGCTCTCATTCTGTAGAATATTCTCGATGTTCCCAATTCGCCGAATTCCCCGCTAGCCCGCAAAGCAAGCTCAGATCAATAACTCCGGCAACATTTGACATTTGTTGTGCGGTAAAAGTTGTTATATTGGGATTGGCTGGTGGAGGCGGCAACAAACATGCTGGTATGCTGGTAGGGGGTTGCCCCCCAATCTTCAAATCGGAGTCAGCTTGCAGTTGCTGTTGTAATCAAGAAAGCCTGGCTTTGAGACACCGGGTGCTGTGCAATTGCTGGGACGCCAGGGTAGGGCAGGCGCATCTGGGATTTTCGTTGCTGGATGGATCATTTTCACACCTGCCTTGGCTTGATCTGTTCAGGAAGCCCCTAACCCGGACAGCAATGCCCGTGAAGATTCTCCTGCGCACAAGCACACCATCCTGCTGTTTTGGACATGTGCAACAGTAACAGCAGCAACAATGACAATCATAATCACAGCAACCACAACCCCAACCAGAATCCGAGCCGCAATCACAACCACAATCCCAGCCGCGATCCCAACCACGAAAACCACAATCACAAGTCACAAGCACAATTTCATCCACACTTACAACTACAGCAGCAACAACAACAGCACCAGCAACAGCAAGAGCAAGAGCAAGCACAACGACAGCAAAAGGGTGCAAGAACAGGCGACGCCACCTTGACATGCTCTTGGGGTCAGGGACGTGTGGCTTTTCAAACTCACACATTTGATCAGAAGCTCTTTGGCTTTCAATTTTGAATTTTGTTCGTTTCGATCTGTTTGTGTCAGGGCCGGTTGGCGCGACACGACCAAATCGTCTCGGCAATTTTATCGCTCCAACGCGCTTCTTTTTGCGAGGCAACGGGGCGATGCTTTGCCACCGGGGCGTGGTGAACTGCATCAACTTCCCGGTGAACGACCTCTGCAAGCAGCAGCTGCAGCAGCTCCTGAGCAAGAAATGAAGTCAAGAATGGCACGTGGGGTGGTCCAAACACGGAATCTGGAGAAGTCATTTGAAGATGAAAGTGGACTTTGAGGGGGCTTCAGAATGCAGGGTTCATGTGACTGGCACTTGTTTTTGAGTCACTGATTTGTATTTTGGGTTTGCTTGAAAATGTGAACGCCATGTTGTTCTCTAGAGTCGTGCCACATACATCACCGTCCCCAAAGGCACTCTGGGGATGGTGCAAGAGGTGTGCAGCTAGGCGCCCAGAAAAACACATCTTCAAGCAGGTTGTGTACACGTCTCTTTGCCCTCACAAAACCATGTGGTCCAACGGCTTGCCGTGTCACTCCATCATTTAGGAAGGTTCCCAGATATCAGGTACACGGCCTGCGGTCCACCGAAGCTTCTTGAGCTTTTCCTTGTGCTATTCGTGGCTTTATTTGTGCCATGGACAAACCACCTCGGAATTTTGGAGAACACGCTCCTGACAAACTCATGATGGCCAACGCATTTGACGTTTGAGACGTTTCCCCCCCCCCCCCCCCCGTGGAATTGCATCTCTTCAGCCATACGCGGGATTGCTGCCTTGGTTCTTCGCCTTGGTTCTGCGGACTGCCTGGGATTCCTTGAGAGGTTTTTGGGCGGAGAACCTGTAAATTGAAGCAACAAAGCCTTGGGTAAGATAAGGCATTGGCAAGTATCTTCCGCAAGAGCCTGTAAGAAAAGCTATTCAATACAATTTCACAAGCTTGATGGGGAAACATTTGACGGGAATGAGCTATTGGCTCCTTGTGGGCTGGCGAACAGTTCCCGACATCGGCAAATATTTTTATACATACATACGCTTGTACGTACGATCGTACGTACATTCTATGTAAAGTAATGCAATGTACTCTACTGTATTGTACTGTATTGCAATGTAATGTAATGCAATTTACATATTCTTGCATGTATGTGCATGTATTCATGTACGCACGTATGCGCGTATGCACGTATGCATGTGTGCATGCATACATGGTGTGCATGTATCTAATTATACATCTATTTCTGTATCTATCTATCTATCTATCTATCTATCTATCTATTTACCTGTTAATGTATCTATTGCCAAAAGGTAGATTGGTCCCAGGACTATTTGTCCATCCACCCACCCACCCCACCCATCCATCCATGCATTCATCCATCCATCCATCCCACCCCACCCGACCCCACCCCACCCCATCCCATCCCACCCCAACCCATCCCATCCCATCCCATCTCATCTCATCCCATCCCATCCCATCCCATCCCATCCCTTCCATCCATCCATCCATCCATGCATCCATCCATCCATCCATCCATCCATCCATCCATCCATCCATCCATCCATCCATCCAGCCAGCCAGCCAGCCATCCATCCATCCATCCATCCATCCATCCATCCATCCCACCCGCGGCGGACATGCGAGGCCGGCGCCCGGGTCAGCAAAATAACACAACATAACGCAATTTAACATGACATACTATAACATATCATAACACAACAAAGCATAATATACCATACCATGACATCACACAGCACATATCAACATAATATGACACGACATCAAATAACATAACATGAAAGGCTATTACATAATATAGCACAACATATAGTTGTGTCTGTGTTGTGTCTATGCATGGTATGTATGGTATGCATATTTCATATGTGATGAGCGTGACGTGTGGTATATATACTATACATGCTATGTATGGTATGCATCTTATGTATGTTATATATACAGGTGTTGCGATATGTTTGTTATGTATGTTGGGTGTGTATTATGATGCCATGCAATTTAATGCAATGTCTCCCCCTCAAGAAAACCTGAGGATTCCTTCATTCCAGTTGCATCCCACGTCCCCCTTTCTGCAGGAGGCTGGGACGGGAGGCAGAGGGTCGGCGGATTATATGATCATAACGCAGTAAGGTTATACTATGTCATGCAATGTGTTATGACACGCTATGGTACGTTACGCTGCGATATGCTGGGTCATGTAGTGTTATGTTACGGCATGTATGGTGTGTCATGAATGGTTTATGTGGTATGTATGTTATGCATGCTACGTTTGTTGTCTATGTTGTGTTTGTTTGTATCATAACATACCATGACACAACATTGCAGACAGACAGGACAGACAGGACCGGACAAGACAGCAGACCAGACCGACGGATGGAAGGACGGACAGACAGACAGAGATCCATCCAATCCGTCCGTCCGTTCATCCATCCATGCACGCATGCAAGAGACATTGAGCCGCTTCAAGGGGTTGGCTTTCGGGCCGGTTGCGTGTGGGTTGGCTAGTCCACTACCAGGCACTAGAAAAAACCTCTTTGAGTTGTCCTTTTCGGCTTAGTTTTCTTTGTCTTTAAAGGGGATTGGTTTCGTTGCCGAGGCAGGACCGCGAGCTGCGGAACGCCTGCAGCGCGCTGGCCGCGGCCCTGACCGGCACCGCCGCGGGCCACCCCTTGGACGTCATCAAGACGCGGCTCTCCGCGTCGAAGCGCCGCGCGGCGAAAGAGAAACGCGCGACGCAGGTTTTTAAGCGTAGGGATTGGCAGACGCGAACGGCTTAGGTGCCATGGGCTTGCCAGGAAAGTGCAAGGGAACCAAGGTGACTGGAAACGGATTATTGGATGGTTTTAAATTGAAACAACTAGATATCCGAAATGGTTTTAGATTAAAAGCTAGATCTCGCAAACCGGCATTTCTTGGGGTGCGGCACCTGATTCACCATTCGCCTCTGCGCTCGTTTTGCATCAGCCCAGGATTTGGGTACGTCGGAATCTGGCAGACCGCTCAAAGGATGTACTCTGAGGAAGGCTTGCGCAGCTTTGTGGCCGCTTGGGCCGCAAGCTCCAGCACTGAAAGAGTGCTTGGCGCTTTGTGTTGACGCGAAGTAAAGGGGTGTCCTGAAGTTCAGTTTTGTTTCGGTTTTTGAATGCAGGCCAACAGGAACCAGCTTGTTTGTTGTGATCCCCTGTATTCAGAGGCACCCCCATGGAAATGTCCATTAGAGGTTCGGGTCTGGGAACGAAAGGTTCATGGCTATTTGAAGCCCTACATAGAGCCTTATTCGATGCGTATTGTGGGCGTATGAGCACCCATAGATGTCTAAGTCATTCCCAGGTCCAGCCAAACCAGCTGGCGCTCTTGTCAAGATTTGGGTCTGTCTGTTTCTGCGGGTAATTACCTGTTTGAGATTGTTTCAAAGGCTACCAGGATAACACTCTTCATTGTGGAGTTCCCCGCCACGAGACGCCGCCCATTTGGCCCTGCTCCCCAACAGATCGGACTACTTATTCCGATGCTCTGGGGCGACATGCAACGGATCAGTCCGCCAGGACCAGCTTCTCATTGTAAGTTTTTCAAGTGGATGAAGAACAAGGCATAGTGTACTGTTTCTTTCACTCACAGTAATTTCTGTCATGGCTATGCTTGGGAATTTGGTAGTTTGTTATTTCTCACAGAGTTGACAGTCGGATGCAGCTGTTTTCCATGGGGTTTGAATCCACCGATTTCTGAGCCACTTGGCCAGCAAGCTGCAGAAGGAAGGAGTGAGAGAAGGAGTATGGTTAGGATCAAGAGATGGAGTAGGAGTAAGTGTACCCACAACTTAAACGGTTTCTAACACAAATATGATATGAGATGAGAGCGCTCTTCTATAGCTCTCACGCACGAAGGAAGGGAGAGAGACAGAGAGAGAGAGAGAGAGAGAGCAGATAATTTCATCTCTTCCTCATCTCGCTCCACATCCTCCTTTCTCCATCTCTGTGACTCACGATGGAAAGGAGTGGATGCGAGAGAGAGAGAGAGAGAGGAATGAGCATGTCCTGTCTACATCTTCTCCCAAATGAGGACATGCTTACTAACTCCTTCCCTTGTATTCGCTTACTCATAAAGACTCCAGAAGTAACTCAAGAATAGAGGAGTGGCATGTCATCTCTTTGCTGATGGACAGATATTGGATGAGTACAATGTACACCTCACAATAATTCTATCCAAGGTTCCTAAGGTGAAATAATCTACAAATGTAGATTAATAAACGCATTACACAATAGACATGTAATGTGTATTCCTTACCAATCTTCACCAATATAAACTATTTGAATCTGAAGAATGATGATTGGTGGAATGACTCCCTCTCTCTCTCTCTCTCTCTCTCTCTCTCGTCCTACCCTTGCCTCCAAGATGCTTCCGGAGCGACCCAAGTGAGCGAGTAGAAGTAAAGAGGCGAGGGGCCATCACTTTCTTGCTTCAGCCAATCAGAAGCTCTATAAACGGGTGAAAGAAGATAGCGATGGATGGAGAGGATGGGTTGTTCATGAACAGGCTACGACTATTAAAAACTATTCCTCCACCAACCCACTCTCCGTTCCATTTGTTTCCTCATTACACGTCAGGACCTATTTAATGGTGAAGCGGGCTAACAGTTAGATCTCAAATGCCTTACCTCTCACCGCTCGTATGCCTCATCTATAAATCCGGAATTAGCCAGCGGTGGAAGGTAAAGATGAATGGGAAATAGAAATGCTTAGGTGAGAGTGAATGCATTTCCCATTTCCTTCATTCTCCATTCCTTCGTCTCGCTTCTCTTCTTTGTTTTTTCTGGAAGCGAGGGCAGGGATTACCTTGTGGACGAAGAAATCTCTCAGATGTTTCCCTTTACGCCATGGACCAAATGTTGTCGGACGCACTTTTCGTAAGATCCAGCGCAGTTTGCTGAAAAGCCGCTCTAAACAGCACATAATGACTTGAACACCAATGAACATATGAGCAAGGCCAAGAACAGGTTGCTTCCAGAAGCTTCGCCAGGCAACCATGATCTGAGCCAACTCTCATGGTTTTTGCCCAGAATGAGGAGCCCGTCTGAATGTGCAAGACACAACAGCAGATTGCTGCTGTAGTGAATATACTTTCAAGCACATCTGGTCAGGCTCGCAGCGCCATCATTGTATGGAACAATACACAGTGAATCACTGCGGAAAGCCAATAGCAGGTGTCTCCACCACTGCCTAGGTCCGCCTGAAGCACTTTTCGTCCTCGTCACCACGTGCTCGAATTAGTCATAGCCAAGCGCAGCTCGGCTAGTCGAAGGGCAGAGACGGCGGCTGCTTAATGTACCGTTTGGACAAAGCTAGCCGATACTTCTAGAGCTTCTAAGACATGCACTAGCACCTTGCCTGCAGAGAAGCACGGAATTCGCCTAGAAAGCTTAAACCCTGAACCGAAACCCTGAACCTAAACCCTAAACCTACACCCCAAGCCTACACCCTAAGCCTATACCCTAAACCATTCCCTAAACCTAATCTGGAAACCTACACCCTAAACCTGAACCCTAAACTTAAACCCCAAACCTAAACTCCAAACTTAAGCCCGAAATCTACACCCTAAACCTAATCCTTACACCTAAACCCTAAACTAAACCTAAACCTAAACCCTAAACCAAAACCCTGGGCAATAGGAGTAGGAGCAACAAAAAGCAAAGGAGCTTTCTGAGCAGAGGCGAGTGAAAGACGGTAAGTTCTGATGGCTTAAGCCCGCTCTGTCCCATTTTATCCGAGTCTCTCGAGCGAGGCGGGGTTTCGCGTTTCCCTGGCGGCGGTGGGGCCCAGCGTGGCCGCCTGCTTCTACCTGAAGGACCGGTTCAGCGCCAGCCACGTGGTGCACCAGCTCTCCACCAGGCCAACGCGCGACATGTTGCGACGAGAAAGATAGGAGTTCCTGAAGGCCGGATCAAGTACGCGTTTTTTTTTCTTCATCGGGTGATGTTGAAGATTTTCTTTTGGTTGCCTATTCAGAGTGACGTGTCTTTGGGTGGTTGGTGGACGTAGATCCACGTGTAAAAGATGTCCACAAAGGCTCTTCATGCTAGGTTTAAGCGAGGGCACCTCTTATTGCCTTGCAGTTGTATCGCTGTGTAGAAACGGAGCGCACAAAGGTTTGGTTGAGGGCATCTTTGCTGCCCTCAATATCTGTGGTGTGAGGAGTATTGGACAAAACCGTGAAGTCGTGATAGCTGGAGACTGCTTGTGGGCGAATTAAATCGATGCCCCCTCGCATTAGGGAAGTGCCAGAGAAAGTGACGCGCAAAACCGGGAGGCCAAGTACAGTGCAGGGTCATGCTGGTGATGCCAGTGCTATCAATGCAGTCGATGTGCTTGCACCACCCGCATGACGGACGCTTACAGGAAGCTGTGGCCTTTCAACCTTTCCAGAGAGAAGATGCGAGTGTCACGTGCCCCAGTGTCAGCATCATCAAAGCTGTCAACTCGTCCCCACCCAACCAATTCCATAGTTAACGTTTGGTTTTGGCGTTAATTCGAGTGCGTGGTGACTTTCAAATTCACATGGTGCTGGGTGAAACTTGCTGCCTGACAGGCCAACACCAATGAAACAGAATGGAAAACAAAAGGAAACGCAAACGATTTCAAGTCCCCAATTCAAGCACCTTGCCACGCAGTCATTGGTGTTGCCACTGACACTGCAGCATGCTGGCAAGACGAAGGTGGGGTATTGCGGGGGAGACTGAGCTGAGGTTAGTTTGCAGTTGCTGCTTTTCTGGGCACATACTTTTCACTGGCCTTATTATTTTATCATGATCAAAAGTCACCCCCTAAGTGATGGGTCAAAGGGAAACAACCCCATTTTCTGACTTTGATAACTTCTAGAAACGATCAAACATTATGACCCCAGTTTCAGTTTTCCCAAACGGGAATCAATATCTCCACAGAAATAAAGGCACCCGTGTTTAAGAGCAAGGCCTGTGAAGAGCCCACAAGCTCACGGGGTTGGATGTAAAGCGAGTTATTGGAACTCGAGCTCGACAAAAAAGTGAAAAAATAACTTTTCCGAGGTTGCAACAGAACAGCAATCTCAGGATGTGAAAGTGAGAGGGAAGCCCTCTTGAAGATATTGCAGAGCTTTGCGTAGTATCCACAATTCTGTGGGTCATTTGGGCATCGCCAGAGTGGTTCTGAAAGAATAAGGATGCGCCAAATTTGACCGTTTGTTTCCTAGCTTGGGAGCGGCAGCCCAAACAGCTGCAAACATGGTTTGGTGCACAGCCTCCTTTGGAAGACCAGTTTCGTTTTCAAAAGGATTGTTTTGGGCTGCTGTGCGGCCAGGTTTGCAAGGTAAAACAGAACTCTTGAGGTCATTTGGACTGAGAAAGGAAACAGAAACCCACTCCTTTGGGTCTCAGATCGCGCGGCTGGCTCAGCGAGAGCTCGATAGCTGGCGGTGCGGCTGGCTGCGTCACATCCTTCGCCTTCTTCCCTTTGGACTGCAAAGTTTCGGGGGGTAGCCGGCTGGTCTCAGGCATTTGAACCAGGATGGCATGCGTGATAGAATTTATGCGGTGCCAGAGCGGTGAGTGTGAAAATTGGAATGCGTAGGCAAATGGGCAGGGAGATGTGATCTCTCGTACGCCTCTGCTGAAACGGTGACAGTTGGATGCCAGGAGCGATCTTGTGCTTTTTCCTCCCCTCCAAAGGGTTTCAACAGTCTGCTGATCAATGAGGGATTCGGGATCTTCCGGACCAGACTCGTTTTCTTGCGGATTCCCAGCCCGATGTTCCGAATTTTTGAATGGCAGGGAGAACCATATCGATTGACACAACCATGAAGCCCTTTGAGGATCTCTTTTAACAGTTCAACATGGCGCTCAGCTGCAAAAGCTGGCGTAAATTCTGAACCTCTCATATCGCTTGAGGTAGGCAGCACCACAGCTTTCAGTTTCGCAAGCATGTTCCCAAAGGCGCCGAAGTGAAGGTAATATCCATCTGCCGCACTGGCCCTCCGCGCACACACCTTTGATTCTGCCTACATGTTTCAGTCTTGAACAAAGCAGGGCCCTTTTGACCTTCTTTGTCAGAGCTCACTTGCAGGATCTGGCAGTATAGCTGATAGGATTGGAAGCCCATGAAGCCAACAGTACCAGACGCTTGCATCAAGCAAGGCCAGCCAGAATCCTGGGCCTGGGAATGCAGGAGGAATCAACCCAAGTTGCGCCCTTTGAGCAAAATCACAAAAGAGCCTTCAAGTTATGGGGTGCCAGGACTCATGGAAGAGGCAACTGCAGATGTCCGTGGTGACAGCTGGTGGGCCACTTGACTGTGAAAGGAATGTGTTCGAATGCGAGGATCTCAGCAGAAGTGGAAGCTGCGTTAGCGATATCGACCTCTCTGTGAACAAATCCCCTTGCTTCTTCTTCTTCTTCTTTTTCTTCGGGGGGCGGGCGGCTCTTGAGTCCAATCCAGCCATCAAACAGGACTTCCCTGAGTATAATTCCGGGTGGTGAGTGATTGGGTCTCAACATCAGGCACAACATGCAGCAAGAGGCATGCCTGCAACCGGCAAACAAGCTGAGCCCGGGAAGTCCAAAAGCAAACGGGGTTGAAGCAAACATTCTCACAAGGTGGGCAGGATTATGTCGAGCACATCATATGACCAGCGTGCCTTTGTAATCCAAAATCGCGCCGCTGCAAGAAGGAAAGCAGAGCTCCGGTCCGTATCCCGGCTCAGGCTACCCGGCCACAAAGCATTCGTGCCATTTTGTCCCCAGCATCGCTCCGCCTCGGTTG